ATATAAAGGTTTATTTGAATAAATACACTTGTATGTGTTTTAGTTACAACTCCCGTACTTATAAGTTAATATGCGTACCGCGCGTAAGTCACGTATGACGCGGATGTCGCGGCGAGAGACCGAGATGTTAAGCCTGACGCGAGTGGTCTCTCCGCTTTTTTATAGTATTGTTTTAGACTTGTCGGAGGGGGTGCCTGGCGACAAGAACATTACCATATTTGGTAATGGTGTCATGCGTTTGGAATTGAGGTCCTAAATGCGGAATGTGCAAGGTGGTGCTTATCGCAGCACTTGCACATCGCTTGCTTGTTGTGGCGCAATTGAAACAATTCCTCGAGAAGTGTTTCGAAAACGCTGGTACCATTCGCGATTATAACAAATTGTACCAATTGCACATTGGTGTTACGAGTAGACGTATAATTGCAATCATGTCATATGCAATTGAAGTAACACGATATTTCTTTACCATTCCATATATATTCGATAGGGGACATTACAATTGTAGTCAAACCAATTATATATGTTGTTCAGAGTAGACATACAGTTGCTACCATCTCATTTGCAATTGAAGCAAAACGATATTTCTTTATACTTTTATGCAACACGTCTTTATTCGACAGAAATTAGCATTGAAAGAATACTGTGCGATGTTGTTAATTATATTTTTTATTATATTTTATTATAAAATATAATATAATAAAATATATCTTATAGATATATTTTATTTTATAAAAAACATTTATTTTGGTAATTACTTTAAAAGTAATTAAAATAAAATATAATTGCTAATGTACAGCAATAACACTTCTTTTATAACATTAGTTTTTATAACATTATTTGTAAAAAATAATATCATATTTAAATTATTTGAATAGTGTTAATTAAATTAGAATACAAGCTTATATATGACGTTATTCATTATAAAGTAGTATATTAGGAATATTTTTAATAAACTAAAATTTTTTCACTAAACTAAAATTTAAAGTAATAATTTTTGAATTGCGTTTTTTCGCAATGTGCCATATATCTTATAATCTGTTACCATTTTGTTTTACCATTTTAAGGCTCCTGTGTCCTCGTTTTATCTTTAAAAATTTTTATACTGAATCAATCACGAAAGATATTTTCTGCAAATAATTTTTTATTTCTACGTATACCACGCCATAAATTGGCATATGATTTCTTGCTTCTGATATTGAACAAGAACAACCATATGAAGACCCAAGAGTCTTAAACAAGTCTATAATTTTGTTTTAAAAGATTACGTTATATTTTATTTGTATATACAAATCATGCTTTATACAAATATACACTATTATTTTTAGTTATTTATTATTCTATATATACATTTTATTTTATGAAAAACATTAATTCTGATAATTACTTTAAAAGTTAAAATATAATATAATTACTAATATACAGCAATAAAACTTTTTTATAACATTAGTGCACATATAAACATTGCATCTATGTTACAATGTAAATGTAAATGTTATATTTATGTCTGTACTTTTCAAAATATATTTTCAATTTATGTTATATAATTTCATTATATTGTATAGCTTCGGATATAATAATAATATTACATCGATTGTTTAATATACGTATCAATTACAGTATATTTATATGAAATTGGTTTACTAAACAAATTTTGCACTATTATACTACTTACTACGCATATTAAATAATCAGCTTCAGTAAAAATAAAGCAATTATTATTATTGAAAACGTTCTTCCAGATAAATCCCAACATTTCCTTAGTTGGGATAATCCCAACTTCCTATAATCATCTCTAATATGTATTTACAATACATCTGCGATATATACTCATTTTTTTACTGTAGGTGAAAATAGTCACAGATATCTCAGGAATAACATAAAAATATTTCATTGCAACTTGTGATATCTCTATATTTTCGTAAATGCAGACATTAGTACATCCTATTAATAACGCTCGTATTCTTAACTTTTATCTAGATCTCTTTAGGATATCGAAATATCTCGGCAGGATATCTTGACGAGATTCCCTAGATTTGTTTTGCTGTGTGGGATAAAATAGATCTATATGGAACAAAAACTTCTAATGAACGTCCATGTAACATCTATGGGACTTCTACTAGACATCCAAATGTTTGCTTGTCGTACTTTTATACGATCTCCATTATACATACCGAATGAAGATCTATGAACATCTATGTGGATTCTATGGAGGTTCCATGCAGACTCTATACATATGTATGTATAAATATTTGCACTTGGTATTTACTGAAGTTTTTATATAAATTAATTCTTAGATCAAGAGAAAAAAATTTTTGTTTAAAATTGATGTTTTGCATGTTTGCAATTGCTCTATATTAATCGTAATAGAAGGAGACCGACAAGAAAGGTCAGTACGGCATAAACTATTTTTACAAAGCCTGGTCGCTGCCGCCAGTGAATTGACACAAGGAAAGCCGCGAGGACCGATACCGCGGACGAGTAGAGGACAGCCGCAGCCGAAGCTAAATGCCAGCGAGCGCATCTTTCGCGACCCAAAGCATCATCTGAGCCGCACGAAGTCAGCCACAAAGTCACGAAGTTCGACAAAAACAACGGCCGAATCGACGCGTCCTTATGGACAAGACAAAATCTCCTGGACCACAAATAACGAGAAGCTGTCGCTCGAATACGGCTGAAATTCATCGAGATTCGGCAACAAGAAGCACCAATTGAAGACCGAAATCCGTGAGGGAAATGATTTGAAACGAGAAATAAAGTTTAGCAAAAGATATAGAATTCTCTGTTCTGGATATTTAGTATGAAGATGTGTAAAGGACGTGCCATCCACGTAGCTAATAACGACTACTTGATCTTGAAGCCTAGTAAGACCGCCACTTGTGTAAACCCGAAGAGATCGCCGTAGCCTGACAGCGCTCCGGTTCGTATATCGGTTTTATTTGGTGAGTCCGTTCCGCTCAGGCAGGCTGACATTCAGTGATTTTTGGTTAGTATCGCGGATCGGACGTCGCATCGAGGAGCAGAAGTCCGGTCGTCCATTCGAATGGGTAAAAGTTCGCGTCTCTTCTCGCAAAAGCAGAGAGCTCGAATTCGCTGTTGCTTTCGCGAAGAATTGCCGTTCAGTTGTCATAGAGCGAGCATACTGCCGAAGAAAGCTCCGATCACGCAATTGCTGTCATGAACTTTGCAGGTCATGACTATTATATTCGTTGCCGAACCCGCTTAGCGCGAGCGAAAGGAAATTATATT